TCTCTCCAGTCCTTGTTTGAGCTTTTTGTTTGTTTGTTTGTTTGAAACATGGTTTCTCTGTGTAGCCTCAGCTGTCCTGGAACTTACTCTGTAGACCAGGCTGAACTGCCTGCCTCTGCCTCCTGAGTGCTGGGATTAAAGGTGTGTGCCACCACTGTCCAGCTGCTTAGAAATCTCAAAGAAATGTTGGACTTGCATTTTTGTGTAAGACATCAGAGACTCTTGGAGATAAATTAAAGTGCTTTTTTGTTTCATTGTAAGATGGCCATGAGCATTTCAAGGATAAATGCAGAATGTTTTTATTTTGAATATGAAATGTCCGTAGGCATTCATGTATTCAAGATTTAGTTGTCAGAGGATGAGCTTTGGAAAGGTGACTGGATCCTGAGGGATCCTGGTCTAGACAGTGGCATAACCACTTGTTGCTTTCATGACTATGATACTATTGCTAGGAGGTGGTGAAAAGTAGATGGGACCTAGCTGGAGGCATTGGGCCACCGAGAGTGCATCCTTAAGGATTTGACTTTGCCCTAGTCGTTTCCTGTGGTCCCTTTCTCTGCTTCCTGTCAGCCATTCAGTGAGCACCTGCTACCATACACACCCACAGCATGGGGTTCTGCCTCACCATCAGCCCAAATCAACATAGATGGCTACCCTGATAGCTTCTCTGAATCCATGGCCCTCCAAATTTGTTCTTCCTTTATGTCAGGCATGTGGTAACAGCAGTGCAAATATAGCTATTACATCGAGTGACAATTCATTGGATGGAATATCATGTTTTGTTTATATATTTATCAGTTGATAGGTATTTGAATTGTTTCTATTATGGGATAGTTTTGTTATTGGTGATTTTCTCAGACTAGTCTTGTGTAGCCCAGATTAACCTCAAATTTACTATGTAACTGAGAATGGTGTTGAACTCCTGATCCTCCTGCATCCACTTCCCAAGTATAGGGACTACAGATCTGCACCACCACACAGGGGCCCGGGCATTGGGCTATCTTGCGCAATGCTTCTGGAATATTCATGGGAAAGTTTGAGGTGAGCCTATACTCCAGCTCTCTCGGGCATGTACCAAAAGCAAAATTGATGTGGCAGTGCTAACATTTGCTTGTGTTTGTTCTCTGAAATGGTCTCCTGTGAGCCCTGGCTGATATGCAGCTCACAAACACATCCTGCCTCATTCACCCCCCCCCCCCAGTGCTGGGCTTTCAGTCCTGTGCCATGATGTCTGACTCTATCTTTTTTAGTAATTGCCCCAGCAGCTGCACCGTTTAGTGAGGGCATCTGATTTCCTCACATCCTCACCAACACTTGTTACTGTCCATCTTTCTCATCATAGCTGTCCCAATGGGTGTGAAGTTATGTCTCACTGGGGTTTGTGCAGGAGGTCCTGTTATATGTATTTGTTGGTGTCTCAACACATATGTACATTGGGGAGGGTATGCATGTATGTATGGAGGCCAAAAATCAACTTTGGGTGTTTTTTCAATCCATCTCTACCTTTTTTGTTTTGTTTTTCAAGACAGGGTTTCTCTGTGTAACAACTCTGGTTGTCCTGGAACTCACTCCAGAAACCAGCCTGGCCTTTAACTTACAGGGATCTACATACCTCTGCCTCCCAAGTGCTAGGATTAAAGACATGCTCCAACACCGCCTGGCCCATGTCTACCTAATTTTTAAAAGACATGATCTCTCTCTGTCACTGAACCTGAAACTTACTCATTCCACTAAACTTGCTGGCAACAAACTTGAGGGATTCACCTGTCACTAACACCTCCACCCTTTCCAGCATTGGGATTTAGCATGCCACCATGCTTGAGTTTCACGTGGGTACTGGGAATCTGAACTCAGACTTTCACGATTGCACAGCAGGCAGGCACTTTGCTAAGTGAGTGACTGTGGCCTTGGTTTGCATTTTTCCCCAGATGGCTGGTGATGCTGAGCTCTGGATGATAAAGCCTACCATGTTAAGTCCAAGAAGCTTCCAACATCTGTTTCTCCACACATTGCTCTACCAAAGAAATACATTCTGTTTAATACATTAAATGATATGTGGGTTGGAAAGATGGCTCAGTAGTTAAGAGCACTTTCTACTCTTCTGGAAGACCCTGGTTTGATTCACAGCACCCACCTCAAGCATTCCACAACCACCTGTAACTTCAGTTCCAGGGGATTCAATACCCTTTTTTAGCCTCCACAGGTACCAGGTACATTCGTGGTGCACATACACATAAAATAAAAGTAAACAAATCTTTAAAAGAAAATAGGCTGTTAAGGCCATCAAGATGCCTGAGAGAGTAAATGTCCTTGCTGCCAACCCTAATGACATGAGTCCCCTCCCTGGAAGTCACATGTTTGTCCTCTGATCTCCAAATGCAGCTTGACTGTGGCAATGGTGCCTGAAAGTCTCTGAGAGAAAGACACACTGGCTTGATCACAGACTCATTAGAACTTCAATGATTTCAGAGAGGTTGGAATGTTATAGGTTCGGGGCTTGATTATGAATTATGCAAAGCTATCTTGACCTCTTGGTAGCCATTGTCTGTATTGTGCCAGCAGGATGGCTCAGCTGGTAAATGAAGGGTTCCAGTAGGTCCGAGCATGACAAGCGTGCCTCTGGCAGGTGCTGCCTCCTCCACTCTCTTTTCCTTGCTAAGCTGTTAGGTTATATCACTAAAGCTAACTTATTCCCTTATTTGGCCACTTCCTCCTGAGGCTAACCACCAAGGTCCAGCTACCAAAGTACTGAAGTCCAGTGTTGTGAGATGTTTGTGCACTATGGGAAGGTGTAGATCGATGCAGCAAACCCAGTTCAAAAGGGTCATTGACAAGAAGCCAGACCCTTTGGGATGTAGACTTGGATCACACCACCAGACATAATACCAAGACCTGCTGAGGTGACAGCAAAAGGAATTTAAGGTGGGAATCAAGTGGTAGCCCAGGTGCTCTATAGCAATGAGAATATAGTTGATCCTTCACAGTTTCTTGTAGATAAAAAGGCTCATGGGAACTATGGAGGCATTTCTCCCCAACCTGTATGGAGAAGTCGATCTGTGTGATACAAGAAGTGGGCTGTAGCAGTACTGAAAAATGCCTCTGGTTTACCTCTCTTGTGACTGGGAACATGTGCCACCATGCCCTGTGTGATGGTCTCCCCCCCCACACACACACACAGGGTTTCTCTGTGTAACAGTCCTGGGTGTCATGGAACTTGCTCTGCAGACCAGGCTGGCCTCAAACTTACTGAGATCTGCCTGCCTCTGCCTCCCCTCACCATACCCCACCTCCCCCTACACCATCTCCCCACCCCCGACATGATAATTAATAGTCATGTTTGACAAGGCAGAGCCACCATGGGACTCTCTGTGAGGAATGGTCTAGAATATTCTAGATTACATTAATTGCAGCGGGAGGACCCACCCTGAACATGGCAGTACCATCTGATGGGCTTGGTCTCCGACTGAATGAAACGGAGAAAGCAGACTGAGCACAGGCATTTATTCCTCTCTCTGCTTCCTCATTAGCGTCAGGTGATTGGCCGCCTCAAGCTCCTGCCACCATAACTCACCCTTAGACTACGAGCCAAGACAAACTTATTCCCTCCTTAAACTGCTCTTGTTAGCTGTTCTTATTCCAGCTGTATACTATCTTAAATAAAAATCCTTCCTACACATCTATAAAAAATGCACAGGAACCACCACCATTACAACCTGGGGGGGCATAGCTAGTGTGTACAACAGTAAAGACAGTCAAATAGTTAAAAAACTAAAATAGACACAAGCATACTCAAGTAACAGATGTGACAAGAATGTAGAGTCTTTCTACAGTAGTACTGGAAGAGAGGGGTATCAGTTAAAAAAAGAACTTCAGTACCCACCTCATTCCATGCATGGATATTATTTTGAGTTTAATCATAAGACTAAAGGTAAAAAGTGAACACTATAAAGCTCTGAGGAAGACCAGGGGGAGCAGGGGAGAGAGGAAGAGAAGGAGGGAGAAGAGGAGGAAGAAGACAAGGAAAAGGAAGGGGAGAGCCGGGCGTTGGTGGCGCACGCCTTTAATCCCGGCACTTGGGAGGCAGAGGCAGGTGGATCTCTGTGAGTTCCACGCCAGCCTGGTCTACAAAGTGAGTTCCAGGACAGCCTCCAAAGCCACAGAGAAACCCTGTTTCAAAAAACCAAAAAAAAAAAAAAAAAAAAAAAAAAAAAAGGAAGGGGAGGAGGAGGAGTGTCTTTGTTACTTTTCTATTGCTTTATTGTTTCTATAAGACAACAGAAGGAGTTTATTTGGGGCCTAACATTTCAAGGGTTAGAGTCCATGACCATCACGGTGGGGAGCATGGCAGCAGACAGACAGACATGGGACTAGAGCTGGACCTGAGAACTCATATCATGAGACATAACCACAAGGCAGAGAGACACTGAGGATGGCACTAGTCATTCCAAACCTCAAAGTCCACCTCCAGTAACCTGCTTCCTCCATCAAGGCCACACCTCCCAATCCTTCCCAAACAGTTCCACCAACCAAGGACCAAGTATCCAAACATGAGCCTACTTGGGTCATTCTCATTCAGACCACCACAAGGCAGGGAGAAGGAGAAATAGCGTTGGAAATACAGTTCCAGCAGTGAAAAGAAACATATAAAAAATAAATAAGGGGAAACTTCAAAGGGCCACTAAGTCCAAAGGGGAGCTACACATTTGAGGACAGTTTTGTGATAATCTGCCAGGTAGCACAGCCCACAGGTGAGAACACAGGCAGCAGGGCCCTAAGGGGCCCTCTGATAAGGAAGGGACAACTCAGAATCCACACTTGGTGACTCAAACTAGCAGGTAACATTCCAATTTCAAGTCACAAGACTGAAAGGCTGACTTTAAAACTACATCCCCACCTCACCTAGAAGCAGGTGCCTGATGTAAGGCCAGATTGACACACAGCACCCATTCAGGCTGAACAATGGTTGTCAGGTGGGGTTTCCTGGCAGGGGTAACTAGTTTCAGCAATCTCAGAGAAGCCACTCGAACTACATCCTTCAACATTTTTTTTCTTCTTGGTTTCAGAGAAAATCCTGCTCTAGTTAACTTTCAAGCAGCATTTTCTGCTTGATGTCAATGGATATTGCACCCAAAACTTAATGAAGATGTGGTCCTGGTTAAAAATTTCTGGTTTCTTCCAGGTTTGTATGGATCCCTGCAGTCCACCATGAAGTAGATCAACCAAGTCCTTCTGACTTCAAGCCAAACCTTGTCTATCTACTTAACATAATCCTGGAAAGGAGCAGGCCCCAAGGTAAGTATGGAGTTGAAAGAGATCTAATTTATTTATCATTAATCCCCACCAGAAGATGGTGGCTTGAATTTGATACTTGGACAGGAAGATAACCAACACTTAACCCTAAATTTCCTCTTCATTTAAATTTTGTTTTGTGTTTTGAGACATGATTTCTCTGTGTAACAGCTCTGGCTGTCCTGGAACTCACTATGTAGACCAAGCTAGTCTTGAACTTATAGAGACCCACCTGCCGCTGCCTCCCAAGTAATGGGATTAAAGGTGTGTGCCACCACCACCCCAGCAATTTAAAAAAATTATTATAGATTATGGGAGCTGAGTAGGCTTGGTGTTTTTCAGCACTGGCTGCTCTTCCAGAGGACTCAGGTTCAATTCCCAGCACCCACACAGTGGCTCACAGCCATCTGTAACTCCAGTTCCAGGAGATTCAACACCCTTTTCTGGCCTCTGCATGCACCAGACACATATATGGCACACAGACATACTTGCAGGTAAAATACCTATACCCGTTTTTTAAAAGTATATTACCATCACCACCTGCCCATGGTCATTGCCAAGGAATGAAGTTGAATTTGAGATTGAACAGAACCAGAGGGCTCTAGGCTAATGCCTTTACCAGAATTCTGTGAAACTTTTATTTCAGATGGCTCACCCAGAAACAGTGACAAACACACTATTTCTCCTCACTGTCACTAGATGTGCTCAGAATACAGAAGGTTTCCTGATGAAATGGGGACTCTTTACACAATGCCTTGAGCACGCTAAGCTGCATTGCTGAGGAGAAAGGAGGAAACAATCTTGTTCAGGGCATTCCTCCCAAGGGAGTAAACAAAGTTCTATGGGAACAGAGTTCACACAGCAGATAGCATCCAACTATATGAGGGCTACGTGTTATGCTTATGTATTTACACATACATAGGCACATGCACATGATGGCATCCATATGAAGGCCAGAGGACCATTCCCAGGAGTTGGTTCTCTCCTTCCACTGTATAGATCCCAGGGATAGAACTCAGGTCATCAGTCTTGCTAGCAAGCACTTTTACCTTTTGAGCTATCTCTACAAACTCCATTTCCTCTTCTTGGCAACATATCCTCTCCTGTTCACCTAGGAACATAGAGAAAGCATGAGTGTAGAGTGTTGTCTTCCCACCAGCCTGGTTCCAGAGCTGGATCAGTCCCAAATGAACACACAGAAGACTTTTAATTATTAAGCTGTTGGCCGTTTGCTTGGTTTCATACTGGCTAGCTCTGACTTAAGTAGTTAACCCATAATTGTTAATCTAAGTATTTCTCTTACCGGAGAAAGGGTCCGGACCTCTTACTTCTATGGCTGCTACATGATGTCTGCCTGTGTCTCTTTTTCCCAGAATCTTCCTCAACTCCTAGTCCCACCTATCTTGCTCCCTATTGGCCAACAGTGCTTTATTGACATATATACAGGACTTCCCCATCACAGGAGCTCCACAGAATGGAGCCCTTGTTTGTTGTTTTTCTTGAGATGGCTAAAAGCATTGGCAAGAAAAAATATGGACAGAAAATATTAAGAGGCCGGGCAGTGGTGGCACACGCCTTTAATCCCAGCACTCATGAGGTAGAGGCAGGTGGATCTCTGTGAGTTCAAGGCCAGCCTGGTCTACAGAGCATGTTCCAAGTCAGTCAAACTACACAGAGAAACCCTGTCTTGAAAAACAAAACAAACAAAAAAAGACAATAATCAGGTATCGGGAAAGCTCAGTTCAGTAGTGGGCTCAGGACACGCCTGCCAGGCAGGGAGGACACCCTTGCTCTCTGAGTAGGGGGGCCCTCAGAATCTATTGCTGCTCACCCTCCTTCCACAGCTGCTCCTGGAACCATGCGGGGTTGCTTGTGGAGATTCATGGGAGTCATGGCATCCTTAGTCACCCTGGGATTCTTTATTCAAGAGAATAAAGCAGCCCATGTGGAGTATAACACAACACCGGTGAGTACTAGGGCTAGAGGCGTCTCCACCCTTCGAAGGAGAGGGTTAAAGCCTCTAGGCTCATTTTGGGAATGCTGAAGTAGAGCACCTGAGGAATCTAGACAGTGCCAGAGAGATTACCTTTGAACTAGACTTGGAACAGATAGGGTTTGGGGAGGGCCGGAAGAGGAGCAGGCATTCCAGGTGTAGAGAAAGCGAAGCACTTTTGGAGGAGGGGCTGACCTGCAGGCCATGGGTGATGAGGAGCACCTGGCTGCTGTCCCCTCCTCACCACACCTGCCAGTTCTTCTCCTTTCTTCTATAAGAAACGGGAAGTGACTTCCCCCAGTGTGAACCTCAGCCCACAGACAGGGCAGCCAGCTGAGGCTTTGGGCGGCAGAGCTGTGTGCAGTGGGACTAAGCAAGTAAAAAGACTTTCAAGCTGAGGCAGCATGTTGAAGACAGGGCCAGGCTGTCTTTCAGAACCCAGCAGAGGCCTGAGCCAAGTCAATGTTTGTTAGATAGACTGTGGTAGAGCAATTAATGACACATGGGAGTTGGCTTGATGGACAGGTCCTCAGTCTACAGGATTCCAGGGCCACATGGCTGTGGCTGGAAAGTTCTGGGGGGAGGAGGGGCCGGGGCTCATGACCAAGGGGGAGAGCAGAAGGCTGAACCCTAACAGATTACATGTAATGGATCCTGGGATCATTCAGTGGGCCCTAAAGAGGACATGTACCAGCTGTCTCCACAGGATCCTAAGAATCACTGTTGGGGCAGCTAATTCTACATCATCTTGTAATTCAGAATGAAAAGAAGAAAATAATACAGCAGATAGCTCAGGAGCAAATCAGCTCTGAAATGAAGAACCATCTGAAATACTTCACAAAGATTCAGAAAAACTCCCCTGTACTCCAGGATGCCAACTATACACTTCTGGCTGGAACCTCTCTCCAGGGAAAGTGTGAGTGTGTGGGAGGAGCCAAGGCAAGGTCTTCCATCTAGAAAAGGAGAGTGGGGTCTACAGGACTGAGCTGGCAGCCAGAGGGACACAAGTACTTTGAGTGATGGCCAGCTAGTACAGGTTTCCACTTAGGTTAGTTTTTTCTCCCATCTGACCCCCTTGAATGCCCAGCAGGAACAAAAAGCCAGAGTAACTCTGTGAGGGAGCCTGTGCTCATACTCATTCATGCCAGGCTTCCAGGGAAGGGAAGATGGATGGAAGAGGAACCAGGGAGACCTGGGACAGGGGAGGGGTAAGAAGCAGATAGTCAAAAAAGCAGCTAGTGTGGACGTATAGCCCATTCAGCTGTCAGTCCATGAACTGGACTGACCAGCCATGAGGATTTAAAGGGACTCAAGGATGCTCTAGTCCAGGACTGGGTAGTTCCCAGTAGTTGGGATAACTCAGAAGGTTATCAAAGCCAGGCTAAGATAATTTGCTTACATGGCAGCAGCACACAGTTTCAGAGCAAAGAGAGCCTAATCCTTTCAAAGCATTGAGCAAGCAAGTGAAACTCTATACCTTTGAGAGGTATTCACCTCCCACAGCCCTCTATTCCCAGGAGAAAAAGATGGGAGCCTGGCCTGGGAACTGGCATTAAGTGAGGGGCTGGGAAGAAAGTCCTGGGACCCACCTGGCTTGCTGAAGTACTGAGAGTGTCCCTGTGTTCCTCAGGGATGCTGACAGTGGGAATCTTCTCAGTGCAGCGTACCCATGGGAGTTACCTGTTGGACACTCTGCAGTCCTTGTTCCAAGCTTCCTCAGAACGGGACCTGGAATATATGCTGGTATTGGTCCTCCTGTCAGACACTGACCCCAAATGGCTCAGCCAAACAGTTGCCAACATCTCAGGTCTCTTCTTGCCACACATTGAGTCCGGGAGGCTGGCGGTGGTCCATGGTCTGCTTGGTGACTCCCTAGCAAAGAGCAGAAACTATACCTCACCCTGCGGAGAACTTTATTCTAGGCAGAAAACAAGTTTTGCCCTCCTCATGAATTTTGCCAGCAACCTCTCTGACTACTTCCTGTTGCTAGGAGATAATGTGAGGTGTGCCCCCAGGTTTGTGCCTGACATCTACTGGGCAGTGTCAGCCTGGAAAGAGCTCCCTTGGGTGATCCTAGACTTCTCTAACATGAAGATCTCTGGAAAGGTTTTCCATACCAGGGACCTGTCCCGCCTGGTCTCCTTCTTGCTCCTCTTCCCTAAGGACATTCCCACTCACTTGCTTCTCTCTGAATTCAGTCTTCTCTTGTCTCAAAATGTTCCAATTCACTTCAGTTCCTCCATCTTCTACCCCATGGACAGTTACTCAGGGGCTGAAGACACATGCTTCCCTGTGGCACAAGACAAGGACTTAGGAGAACCAGACAACCCTGTGGCTACTGTCTTCACAGACATGCTCTCGTTTTGGGACACGCTTCCACAATATGCCTACATTCTCAATGATGATGGTTTATGGGTTGTTGACCCTATAAAAGGTAACTACTTGCTTGTGGTTCTGGACAAGCCACAGAAAGTCATCCGGGTAGCAGTGCTGACAGGCTCTTCTCAGAAAAGGGTGAACTTATTATCTCAGGCACAAATATTGCTGGGCTATAACCTCATGGACTACCCCAAACGCTGCGCTCACTATACCCTGGTAGGACCTTTGGTGCGAGGGCAGTTGGACCAGATGGTATATTATGAAGAAGATTCTGTGAAGGAGATTAGTTGCATAAAACTACTGGTGACAGCATCTCATGACTCCCCCGTCAGGATCCTACAGATCAGAGTCTGGACAGAAGTGGAAGAAGAAGAGAATTAGAGGGCACCATGGGATTTCTGCAAGGACTGGGTCTGGGAAGAGGAAATAAATACATCAATTGACCAAGAATTTCTCCTCCTCGTGAATACAGTGCTTATATAATTTATTCTCCAAAGTGGGACCCTGTGCTGGTTGGTTTTGTAAACCTGACACAAACCTAGACATCTGAGAGGAGGGAACCTCAACCGAGAAAAGGCCCCCGTAACACTGCCCTTTGGGACATTTTCTGAATTAGTGATGTCTCAAACAAAAGTGAAGTGTTCCTAAAAAACATCATAGCAGAACATCCTCTGGCACACACACACACACACACACACACACACACACACACACACACACACACAGAGCTGTGGTAGGAGCCAGATGTCATGACCCATGCCTATAATCACAGCACACAGCACTTAGGACATATAGGCTCAAAAATTCTCAGTTACCATAAATATATAGCAAGGAATATTCCATGAGACCTGTTTTTAATAAAAGGAAGGGGAGGAGTTAGCCAGGCATTGGTGGCACACGTCTTTAATCCCAGCATTAGGGAGGCAGAAGCAGGTGGATCTATGTTGCAAAATATTTGTACACTGTGAAGATGCGTCTTTGCCCAAGGCATCTTCTGATTCATTTAACCAAGAGCCAAATGACCAAAATCCATCCTCTGGCATGTGCAAGTGCACACACACACAAACACATATGCACATACACATACACACAAAGGAGAGAATAGGCAGGATTTCTGGAGAGAGAGGGGTAAAGAGACACCCAGGGAGCTGGGGAACAAGTACTGCACTGAGGAGAGGTAAAAGCCATGTTGCAGAATGTAGATTAATAGAAGCAGTCTAAATAAGTTATAAGAGCTAGTTGGGGACAAAACTAAACTAAAGGCCATGCTTTCATAATTAATAAGTCTCTGTGTCATTATTTCCGGGCTGGTGATCCAAGTCTGACAAGAAAGTTTGCTACAGATTTCTGAGTTCAAGGCTACTGTGGTCCACAGAGCAAATTTCAGGACAGCCAGGGCAACACAGAAAAACCCTGTCTTGAAAAACCAAAAGCCAAACAAAAAAACAAAAATATCACACAAAGCCATTATGAAACAAAACACCTCCAAAAGTGCCACTGAGTTTGTTTTATGTTGGCCATCTGCAGTTGGGCATGGAACTCCCCTCAGGTGTGATGTGTATACCTAGTGAGACTGCATTGAAGAAAACTTAATTTTTCCTTGTTGAGTGGTTGTCAAATGGAGATAGCTCCTGGGCTAGGGAAGGAAGCACCTGTTCACTTTCCCTCTCAGCACAGGGACCCCATCTGTCTTAGATGTACCTTACAGTTACAGGTAGTTCTAAGACAGATACTGCCAGAGTCGCTGTGAGTTCATATGTGTGTCAGTCCTGTTTTGTTCAGAAGGCTGTTTCCTTGGTGTCATCCACGCCCTCTGACTTTTACAATCTTTCCTCCTCTTTGTCTACTGTTTTTTTTTTTTTTTTGGTTTTTACGAGACAGGGTTTCTCTGTATTGTTTCGGAGGCTATCGGTCCAGCCAGGCTTCGAACTCACAGAGATCCGCCTGCCTCTGCCTCCCTAGTGCTGGGATTAAAGGCATGCGCCACCACCGCACGGCTGTCTACTGTTTTTTAAACTTTTCCCAAAGCTAGAGAAATGATGACTGCATATAGTCAATTGCCTTTCACTGTAATGTTTATTCTCCTTTGCATTAGAATGATGGGCCAGGCTTGGTGGCACACACCTTCAATCCCAGCACTCAGGGGACAGAGGCAGATTGATCTCTGAGTTTGAGGCCAGCCTGAACTACAGAGACAGCCAGGATTACTCAGAGAAACCCTGTGTAGTCCTTGAAAAGTGGGAAAAAAAGGAAAGAGGAAGGAAGGAAGGAAGGAAGGAAGGAAGGAAGGAAGGAAGGAAGGAAGGAAAAGAACGAACGTTGGACCAGCAAGGTGGGTAAAGTTGCTACCAAGCCTGATGACCTGAGTTCAATCAACTCTTGTAACCCACATGATTGAAGGAGAGAACTAATTCCTGCAAATTGTCCTTTGCCACAACAAGGCAAGGACACACTTGCACATTCTCTCTCTCTCTCTCTCTCTCTCTCTCTCTCTCTCTCTCTCTCTCTCTCTCTCTCTCTCTCTCTCACACACACACACACACACACATATGCACACGCACACTTGCATATTCTATTTCCCTCTTTTTCAAAACAAATGCACAAACAAAAATAGTGTCATGAGAGACCATGTCACATCTTTAAAAAGAACATAATTCAGTCAGGCAGTGGTGGTGCCCACCTTTAATCCCAGCACTTGGGAGGCAGAGCCAGGAGGATCTGTGTAAATTCAAAAATAGTGAGCTGCAGAGTTCCAGGCCAACCAGGGTTACATAGTGAGATTCTGACTCAAAACTGAATAATAAACGATATACTTACATTACCCCCCTTTTTATTTCCTGAGACAGTGTCTGACTGTGTACTCCAGGAAGGTTATATAAACCCGGCGGGCCTTTAGCTCACAGAGACCCACCTGCCTCTGTCCCCCACCCCAGTGATGAGATTAAAGGCATGCACCACCCTACTGGCTTATTATTTTTATGTGAGGGGTTTGTTTTCATGTATGTCTGTGAACTACATGTATGCATGGTGCCCACAGAACCAGAAGAAGGCATCCAGCCCCTGGAACTGAAGTCATGGGTGGTTATGAGCCACCAGGAATTGAACTCAGGTACTCTGGAAGAGCAGCCATCTTGCTAACCCTCTGGCTTTTTTGGGGGAGGTAGGGGGTTCAAAACAGGGTTTCTTTCTCTATGTAGGCCTGACTGTTCTGGAACTCTCTCTGTAGACCAGGCTGGCCTAGACCTCAAAGATCCGCCAGCCCCTGCCCCCTAGTGCTGGGATTAAAGGTGTGTACTGCCTCACCACTTTACCCCACCTTTTAATTTAGAGTTAAAAAAATCACTTTTAATCATGTGTCTGGATATTGGTGTCAGTATGTTCACATGCGTTCATGTCCCTGAAGAGGCCAGAGGTGTCAGATTCCCCTGCAGTTGAGTTATAAGCATTCATGAGTCATCTGACATGGGTGCTAGGAACCAGATCTTGAACTTGGGTCCTCTACAAGAGCAGCCTGCACTCTTAACCACTGAGCCATCTCCAGCCTTTAGCCCTAGAAGCTAATGTCTTCCTCCAGGGCATAGGGCAGGTTTGTTTATAAAGACAGCAACTCCCTCTGCAGAGATTTAGAGGCTGCCTCTCCAGGGATACTAAAGTTAGTGAGAATTCTCTTTCCTCCCCTGAGAAGATCTGTTTGTTTCCTAACCAGAACAATGAATGTAATGTCTCCCCGTGCAGCGGAGGTTGGGCAGGTTTGATAATGGTCTCCTTATAAAATCAGAGCTTTCTTAGGTTAGCATGTCTCAGCCATGATGTGAGCCCTCTGTGTGAGTAGTGTCCACCCAGCCTCAATGTATCATCCCTCACTAGATTTCCCCTGGGACTGCAGGGCAAGGGGAATTGCTACCACATGAAGCCCATAGTGTCTGCATCACCAGGGAAGTCTGTGCCCGGAACAGTTCGCTCCCTGGTGTTCATTGACGATGAAATACGATCCACAGTACTGATGTCGGGGAAGTGGGTCTAGACATTTTATTAGAGAGAGAGAAATCACTTACATGAGAAGGTGAGAACCGGGATCAGGACTCTATGGTCTCCGAACCTCAACCTGAATCCAAGAGAGCAGGGTCCTCTCCTGTCCCCTCTCTTATCCCTGGTTTCTCTCAGGTACCTGTGACCACGCCCAAACGGGCATGGTCAGTGTTGCAGGTCAGTGAGCCTTCTCCCTACAGTGCATGACTTCTTTTTTTTTTTTGTTTTGTTTTGTTTTGTTTTGTTTTTCGAGACAGGGTTTCTCTGTAGCTTTGGAGGCTGTCCTGGAACTCACTTTGTAGACCAGGCTGGCCTCGAACTCACAGAGATCCGCCTGCCTCTGCCTCCCGAGTGCTGGGATTAAAGGTGTGCGCCACCAACGCCCGGCTAGTGCAGGACTTCTTAACAGCAGCAGTGGTTACCTTTTCTTTTGTGTATTTTTCCCAGAGCCCTTTCTTCCTTCTTTATTATTTGTACGGTTCAAGGCACTTAGAATGCATTAGTAAACAGAAACTGTTCCCCCAGGGGCTTGTGCATGTAAGAGGGAGCAGAGATGTTAGAAATATGAGTGTGTTCCAGACTGGCTGTGGAGGTTTTCTATCAGCGGAGTGACACAATATGCTAAAGTGACAGAAGGAAGCTAACCCCAACACTCTAGGAAGAAGCAGGCAGATCTCTGAGTTCAAGGCCAGCCTGCTCTACCCGGTGAGTTACAGGTCAGCCAAGGCTGCATAGTGAGTCCCCCCCCCAAAAAAAGTGAATTAAATACATTAAAAATTACAATTAAAGTAATTGAAGGAGGAAAGAGGCAGGAATGAGAGCAATCAGAATGCAACTACAGGAATCCACAGAAAATAAGGTGGTGCTGGGGCCGAGCAATAGCAGTGGAGGGGGTGAGAATTGGCTAGAGGTTGAACATATTTAAGATCTGCCCAAGATTGGTGAGGATTGGTTGTAGGGTTTGAGAAAAGGAGAACTAGATGCAGTTCTAGAAAGATGAGCTGTTCCCCACTGAAACGGAGGTGGTTTCTGCTGTGTCATTAAAAGAAACAATCTTATGTGTGTGAAAGCCTTATCACTATGTTGTTAAATCTGTTCCTCAGTACTTCATGTCATCTGTTGATACTGATGTATTTATTATTACTAGAGCAGGCTGGAGGGGTGGCTCAGGAGTTAAAAGCACTTACCACTTTTCCGGAAGACACAGGTTGGGTTCCCAGCACCCACATGGTGGCTGGCAACCGTTTTGAACTCCAGTTGCAGAGGGTCTGATGCCCTTTGCTGGCCTTTGCAGACATACACTTGGTACACAGACATATATGCAAGCAAAACACCCAGACACATGAAATAAAAGGAAATCTTCTTCTTAAAAACATAAATTATTGGAGCTGGAGAGTTGGCTTGGTAGTTAAGGACACTGGCTCCTCTTCCAGTGAACCTGGGATTTGATTCCCAGGGTCAGTAACTCCAGTCCCAGGGGATCAGACACACTCTTCTGACCACCCTGGATACTGCATACATGTGGTACATGGACGTACATGCAGACAAAACACCCATATACGTAACACTAAATAATTTTAAAAATTTATAGATAAGCTATTACTATAACAGTATCTTATGAGGCCAACAAAATGGGTTGTTTTGTATTTTTTAATTGACAGATAAAATGTACCTATCATATACAATGTAATATATATGATTATAAATATACATATATATTTGAATAGCTATCTTTAACATGTGCTTTATCATACAAAGTTCCTAGTTTTTGCCCGGAAAACAAAGGATTGAGACTGTAAAGTAAGAAAGGGAGGTTTGGAGGTGATAAAGTTATCCTTTATCTTGATTGTGGTGATTACACAAATCTATACATGCTCTAAAATTCATATAACAATACATCAAAAATCTACCTTAATGTATAATAATTTGCAATTATTGTATTGTGATAGTGGCATTATGGTTCATTTTAAGGTCTTATCTTTTCAAGGTATATGCTAAAATATTTAAGGACAAATTATATTAAACATGTGATGCTATAGAATATTAGTTTAAGATGTGTTACATTTGCTTATGCTGTGGAATATTTGTTTAATCATGCAAAGATGTGTTGCATTCTTTTATGTTGCATTTGTTTACCTCTGCCAAGGTGTGTTACTTTGTCTAAAACACCTGATTGGTCTAATAAAGAACTGAATGGTCAATAGCAAGGCAGGAAACAGAAATAGGTGGGGCTGGCAGGAAGAGAGAATAAAAAGAGAGGAGCTAGGAGTCAGAAAAGGAGAGGAGGACACCAGTGGCCACCCAGCTACCCAGCCACACAGCCAGCCATGGAGTAAGGAGGCAAGAAACACATATAGAATAAAGAAAGGTAAAAAGCCCAGAGGCAAAACATAGTTAAAGAGAAATAAGATTATTAGTTAAATTAGAAAAGCTGTCTAGAGGGCCAGGCGTTGGTGGTGCACGCCTTTAATCCCAGCACTCCGGAGGCAGACACAGGTGGATCTCTGTGAGTTTGAGGCCAGCCTGGTCTATAGAGCGAGTTCCAGGACAGCCTCCAAAACAATACAGAAATCTTGTCTCTAAAAACCAAAAAAAAAAAAAGAAAGAAAGAAAGAAAGAAAGAAAGAAAGAAAGAAAAAGAAAAGCTGCCTAGAAACAAGCTAAGCTAAGGTTGGGCATTCATAAGTAAGAATAAGTCTCCGTGTATTTATCTGGGAGCTGGATGGTGGGCCCGCAAAGAGTGAAAAAAACTATAATGGGGTTCACTTAAAAATAATACTGGAAGGAATGAGCAAATTGAATTGCTCAGTGAGTAAAGTCCTTGCCATGCAGGCATGAGAACTTGTGGTTTTCACCAGTGCCCACGAGAAAAGATGGATGTGGTAGTATGTACCCATAATCCCAGATCTAGGAAGTGGAGATGAGAGGATCATGGGGTTTACAGGCCAGCCAGTAGTTCAGGCAATCAGACAGCTCCAGGTTCAGTGACTGACCTTGTTTCAAAATACATGGTAGAAGTTGGATGTAGTGGTGAACGCTTTAGTCCCAGCACTTGGGAAACAGAGGCACATAGACCTCTATGTAGACCAGGCTGGTCTCGAACTCACAGAGATCCACCTGCTTCTGCCTCTCCACTACTGGGACTAAAGACGTGTGCCACCACTACCCGGCACCCAACTATTTATTTTTAGGGTTTTGGGGGAGAGAGAGTTCTTGAGGTGCTGAGTCAAATCATTGCTTAAGCCAGTAGGATGACTTTGGGGGTGGTATTGAAGTAAAGCTTCAGTTCCCACCTCCGTACAAAACAAGGTCTCTTTTTTAATGTTCCTTCAGAGGAGGTAGAGAAGGGGAGTAGGGCCCCACCATCAAAGTAATGAGCCTGGTTAATATGTGACCTACAGAATGACCTGCGGGGTACACAGGGCTGTTAATATGTGACATTGGTCAGGCTGCTATTCCACAGCATACAGGTTGAGCATGGAGTTGTCACCCCTCTGTGGTCATGGCCTACTTACCTGAAAGGCCTGTCTTCCTGCCTATGTGACATGACAGTTGAGAGCACACAGCATCCAGGACAGGCCAGTCTCACATACCTGATCCAGTGGTTCCCAGAAATGCACTCTAATTGTGTGCCCCGTTGACTCTAAGTACGCTCTCCTCTTGTTCTGCATCTCTCCCTCCCTACCACATCCCACCCAGGAAAAGGAGGAGGAGGAGGACCTGGAACCTCTACAGACAGATCCAGGCAGGAAAAGGTCAGTGGTGGTCAATAAGTCAGAGGCTCTAGAAGATAATCCCATGGGTCATCCAGAACAGAAAAAAAGGAAAGAAAGAAAGAAAGAAAGGGCTGGATGTGGTGATACAAGCCAATAGGATATCCTAAAGAGACAGAGGCAGGAGGATCGTGAATTTGAGGCCAAGTGGTTCACAAACATCTGCAACCCCAGTTTTTCTGACTTCTTTGGACACAAGGCATGCACATGTATGGTACACATACATACATACATACATACATACATACATACATAACATACATATACATACAGGCAAAATATTCATACACAGAAGATTAATTAAGGAGTTATTTTTAAAAATTAGAAAGTATGAATCCATCTTCCTTACTCTGATGGCCACTTTACCATGCCCTGTCACCTCTGACTTCGCTTTAGACAGTGTTTCTGAATTGTGTCTAAACAGTGTTTCAGAGCAGACATTCTAGCTGCTCTGAAAATTCTGACAGCCATGAACCCAGGTTTGAGTGACATTTTCAGCTAGCCTAGAAAAAGAAAGGAAAACCTTTCTTGGTTTTCAGAATTGACTGAAAACCAAGGCTTCATTGTCTGGAATGCCCTGAAGGTATTCATTGCTGATGTAGATCAGTCCTTCATGGATCTTGCATCCATTACTATATCTCAAACAGCAAATTTGCCACGTTCAGGAAACTGTGTGTGAAAAAGCATGGCCATCTTGGCAAATGTGCAGCCCCAGCGGCTTCTGGTATCTATTTCTAACTCTGGTTCCATGCTTGTGCAGTCAACAGAGCTGAGTCCTAAATCCTAAGGGGGCCTTGGGGCTGCCTTCTGAGTTAGAGTAGTAGCTGCTATCCATTTAGCATTTTGCCCCCTGACAGACATTACACTAAAGACTAGCACATCTCACTGGGCCTCAGAATAACCCTATGAACCAAACGCGTGGGGATTATGATATTCACCTATTGATGAAGAAATGCAGAGGTCACAGGGCCATTAAGGCCTCACTCTGTGTAGTATTACCCGCCTTTGCGAGCACCCATGGTGGGTGGAAAGCTTGACTTGAACCGAAAGGAAACCCTTGAGTTGTAAAGGATATTTATTATTTATTTTTATTTTGTGTATGAGTGTTTTGCCTGCGTGTATGTATGTATCCTCAGACACTACTGTGTGTGTAGTGCCTGAGGATGCCAGAAGAGGATACCAGAACCCCTAGAATTAGACTGACAGACGCTCTCAAGCCTAGTATATGGGTGCTGAGAACCCAGCCAGGGCTCTCCACAAGAGTGGTGAGCTCTTAACTACTCCAGCCCCTCCTGACTGATTCTGATGAACCGATGTTGTGAGCAAAATCAGTTGTTTTGTTTAAAGGACTAGGAAATGAAGTTGCCCTGCCAGTCTTCCTGAAACAGTACAATTGTCTGGCAAGGCAACCCGTTGGGAAAAACAAACAAACAAACAAACAAACAAACCCAAGAACTACCATCTGATGACTTCCTCCTGTTCTACTTTTAAGCCTGTCTCTGGCTCAAAACTGCACTTTCCATGAGGCTTTCAAATCGGCTGGCAGATTTCTTGTCACGCGAATTAGCCTGAATCCACGTTAGAGAGAACTGTCATCCCTTCCCTTTGGAGTACATGTAAGTAGTAGAATCCAGAAAGCTAGAAAGGAGTGGGCTGGGACTGCTTAACTACTCGCATACTTGGACCACCCTCTCTCCGTAGGGAAGAGGAGTGCCGCACGGGCTTCTCCATAGACCACACCCTGGAGAGCTCCGCCCCCAGACACGCCCCGCGGCGCATTGTGGGATCTGTCAGCCCTTCCGGAGCCTGACGCGGCGCTAGGTCATGGGGATCCAGCCGGTAAGACCCTCGTTCGATGCCCTGAACCCGGGGTCCCCAGCCCAGCTGGTTCTGGGCAGTTGGCTCGGCAGGGCTGGGCTGTGCCAGCCCTGATACCAGGGTCTCGCTGCATCAGCTGAGGGTTGGGGACGCTGCTCTGCTCACTCCTGCGGCTTTGGCATTTTTTTCTCGATGGAGTTCGGGATCGCCGCCCCTGGCTCCCCACCCACCCCTTGGCTTTTCTTCAGCGTGGCGATCATGCTTCCTCCTCTACCCGTAGAGCCCGGTCCTGCTAGCCTCTCTAGGGGTGGGGCTGCTTACTCTGTTCGGACTAGCTGTGGTTACCTATCTGGTTCGAAGATCCCGCCGGCCCCAGGTCACTCTCCAGGACCCGGATGAGAAGTACCTGCTGCGCTTGTTAGACAAGACGGTAAGTTGTGAAGAAGGGCGACTAGGGTAGAGAGGGGACCGAAGTTCTATTTTGAGGGATAGCATCCACGGTGGTTGGATTACTCGAAGGGACTTGGCAGACCAGACCTGGTTGATAAAACATCTTGTCATCCATCCTCTAGACTGTGAGCCACAACACCAGGAGGTTCCGCTTTGCCCTGCCCACCGCCCACCACATTCTGGGACTACCTGTGGGTAAGGAAAAGGCAGTGGTCTTCTCTCTTTGGCATCCTATGAGATCGAGTCACTGCTTAGCTATTTCCCCTGTACACACCATTCTCCTTTCCTTACTTGACTTTGAATCCTTCAGCCTGTGAAGGACCACTCCCTTAGGGTGTGACTTCTGTGCACCTAAACACCTTTAACCTCTAGCAGTCATTCCTATTTCCTGTAGGACTTGTCATAACCCCCCTCTCACACCCAGCAAACACTAATTTCTTTCCATTGTGCAAACCCTCTGCTCACTTGCTGCTGCTAAGGTCCTGGCAGTGACTAAGTGAGTTTCTCAGGTAGGAGGAGGCAAGAACTACTGTCCAGGGATCCTCCCTGAGGGGACAGATCCTCCCTGAGGGCACAGTTTCTCCCTGAGGGGACAGTTCCTTGGACCTGCACCAAGAAGCAAAATATCCTTTCCTCTCAAATCTGAGTGTTTTTGAAAGGTGACAGGGCCATAGCACATTCGCAGCAGCTGTGTAACCCTTCCCATGGTTCCCAGGCAAGCATGTCTACCTCTCTGCTCGAATTGATGGCAGTCTGGTCATCAGGCCTTACACTCCTGTCACCAGTGATGAAGACCAAGGCTATGTGGATCTTGTCATCAAGGTAAGAGTAGAGAAAGGAAATCTTGGGACTGGGAAGATGGCCTTGTCTTTGGGTAAAGCTCTTGCTATACAAGCCTGAGTTTGTATTCCCTGGCACCCATGCAAAAGCTGGATACAGTAGCCCATGCATCTGAAATCCCAGCATGCCCATACTGGGAGATGGGAGATGGATACCTAAGAATTACCATAAACTCAGAGTTTGGGGGCCAGCTAACCTTTCAAAAATAAGAAAGATCCGGTCTCAAACAAGATGAAAGACACAGACCAACATCTGGGGTTGTTCTCTGATCTTCCCACACTTGCCATGGCAGGCATGCACACACACACACACACACACACACACACACACACACACACACACACACTACATACGTGCATATATACATGCATACACACGCGTTTTCTTCCTCTCTGCCTCATCAGGTTTATTTAAAAGGTGTGCATCCCAAATTTCCTGAAGGAGGGAAGATGTCTCAGTACCTGGATAGCCTGAAGATTGGGGATGTGGTGGAGTTTCGGGGGCCAAGTGGGTTGCTCAGTTATGCTGGAAAAGGTGATTATCTGTCTTTTCCTTCCTCTGTTCCTACAATGCCCCTCCCCCACACTCTGTATGTGTGCATGTGTGTACCTATGTAAGGTCTCCTAAAGCACCTATGCTACAGACAGCTGTGGAGATTACCAAAGTAAACCCTGCCTCTCCTTCCCTCCCTCAAAGTTTCTTCCCTCTGGCTAGGAACCAAAAGAGAAAGCTTCTAGTCCTTCCCAAGGGAACAGCTGGGTGCTGTACCCTACCCCTGGTGACAATCTAGACCACTAGGGAAACTAAAGTCACCCTGGCCCCGTGCCTATCACCCAATCAGGGAGCAATTCTCTGCCAGAGGATTTTTTCTCCACACACCTTCCCTTGCCCCTCACATGTCTTTGAATCTGAGTTTCTTTGAGGTGTGGCTTCTGTGCCCCCACTATGTGAACTAACTGGTAGGCAGACAGTCCAGCCCCTTTGTCCTTCCTGTGTAATTGTCAGGGCCAGTTTAACTCAAACCCCTGATGCAAGTCTCAGGATCAGATTTCATAGCAGTTGCTAAAACAGCCTAGGGCATGTTTTCAATTCTGCATTTGTTTACTTAGTTGCTGTTTTGAGCTAGCTCTAACTCTTCGCTTGACTTCTCAGGGAATTTTAACATTCAGCCCAACAAAAAGTCTCCACCTGAACTGCGAGTGGCAAAGAAATTGGGAATGATTGCTGGTGGGACAGGTCTGTATCACTTGAGGGATATTTTTGCTTGGTATTATTGGGTTTTTCTATGCAGATTTCTTTTTTTGTTTTGTTTTGTTTTTTGTTTTTGTTTTTCGGAGACAGGGTTTCTCTGTATTGTTTTGGAGGCTGTCCTGGAACTCCCTCTCTAGACCAGGCTAGCCTCGAACTCACAGAGATCCGCATGCCTCTGCCTCCCGAGTGCTGGGATTAAAGGCGTGTGCCACCAACGCCCTTCTCTATGCAGATTTCTATATGATCTCAGGTCCTATAATAGAGGACTAGCCATTAATCAAGGGATTTCCCCAGTAACTGAAGTCATAAGCAAGTAGAAGCAAAAAAATTTCACAGAACAAGAACAATAAATCAGGAGGTTCTCCACAAACTGAGTGGATTTAATGACTGAGAGAAACAGGTAAGTACGAATAGTTGAGGAGGAAAAAGCCAGGCCTGGTGGTTCAGGCCTTATAGTCCAGTTAGTTTGAATTAAGAAGTTCACAAAGTTTAGAGTCAGCCTAGGCTACATACATAAATACAGAGTTCTAGCCAAGCCTGGACAATTTAGCGAACACAGTGGTAGAAGAGCACTTACCTAGCGTGTTTGATGTCCTAGATTCAATCCTCTGTCACAAAAGGGGGGAAAGGAGTACTATAGTACCACACTTAGATACCTGCTACTCTATAAGTACTTAACTACGTGCCTTTCTCGTCTGCAAATGGAGACTCCTAGAGCTTAGGTTTCCTTGATTGATTTTGGTTCTTTGGTTTTTAGAGACAGGATTTCACTGTGTAGCCCTGGCTGTACTGCAACTCATTCTGTAGACCAGGCTGGCCTCTGCCTTCCAAGTGCTGGGATTAAAGATATGCACCAACACTGTCCAGCTACCACAAGGTTATTTAGTTAGTAATGGCCACAGCCACAGATTCAAATCTGACTCTGCCTAATTCCAAAGAACATGTTCTTACCCTCTGTAAGCAGTGTTCCAGAACTCTTATCACTGAGGCAAGATCTTGTTATGTAGCTCTGGCTGGCCTAGAACCCACTGTGTCCTCACAGAGCTATCACAGACTGCTGGGAATTAAGCCATGTGCTACCAGATATGGCCTGATAGATAATGCTTGTGTTCCTGCCTCCAAGGGACTTTCAGAGCAAGTGTCTCAGATTGACTCCTTAGAAGGGTTTCTACACTGTGTTCTTATGGGAATATTAAGCTCCAGAATCATAGGCCATGAAAGTGCAGGGGGAGGTCAGAGGATGAGACACAACAAGAAAACACGTGGAGTCTGAATGACAGCCTCTGAGATGACAGAGTTGGTCAGCACAGGACCTGGGACACAACAGAGAGAACACCTCTCTCTAGCCGATGCATCTCACTGTGGCGGCTCCTCCTGCAGGAATCACCCCAATGCTGCAGCTAATCCGGGCCATCTTGAAAGTCCCTGAAGATCCAACCCAGTGCTTTCTGCTTTTTGCCAACCAGGTTCGTTTGCTTTCCTCAGTCTCAGGATTTTAAAGTTGGCTGTGGGAATAGATAGGGCTGAGAGCGAGGACTGGCTCAGTGCCATTCTAGTCTCTGTCCACAAACCCCTCTGTGAATACAGGGTCCTCCCTCACAAGAAGAAGGGAAGATGGGGACCAGCAAGAAGAGGGTGTAGATTTAGTTTCCATTCCCCACATGGCATCTTACAACATTCTTTATGTCCAGTTCTAGGGCATCTGGGCTCCAGGGGCAATGGGCATCCATGCAATGCACTTACATACATGCAGGAAAAACACTCATAAAATAAAAATAAATACTGAAAAAAGAAAGGAAAGAGCCGGGCGGTGGTGGCGCACGCCTTTAATCCCAGCACTCGGGAGGCAGAGGCAGGCGGATCTCTGTGAGTTCGAGGCCGGGCTGGACTGACAGCCTCCAAAACAATACAGAGAAACCCTGTCTCTTAAAAACCAAAAAAAAAAAAAAAAAAAAAAAGAAAGGAAAGAAAGGAGGGGGGTTTAGTACTAAGCCAACCTTCTTCCCTGGCCCTAGGGAAATGAGAGAAGATGGAGGTGTCTCATGCTGAGGGTAGGGACTTGGGCCTTCTTGGTCACATATCCCTTTGTCATGGGTAAATGAGGTCGCTTCCTGATCCTTAGTGCCCAAAAGCACTGCCAAGTCTTAGCTCTCCTAGCACTTGAGCATGTCTTAGCATTCCCTTTCCTTCCTGGTTGGAAGGTTGTCATAGTAAAGAACTTTTCTGATGCGGGCCCAGGGCCCAACGTTCCTAAGACTCAGCTTCCCCATTTGCATTTCAGACTGAAAAGGACATAATCCTACGGGAGGACCTAGAGGAACTTCAGGCCCAATATCCCAACCGCTTTAAGCTCTGGTTCACTCTGGATCATCCCCCAGAAGGTATCTTGCCATTTCTGAACATCTGGATAGTCTTCATTATCTGAATAAAGACCTTGCCCCTCTTCAAGTTCTGCTGCCAGTAAACAGACCCTCCCGACACTGCCAGAATCCTAAATCTGTGTGCACAGACCAAATGATCTCCTGATCCCTTTCCTTCTGGCTCCTGTTTTTTTCAGGCGGGTGGCAGGGATGTGGCTATAGTTGCTCCTGTAACCTGAGACTTTCTCAGGATCCCCTGTGTGTTTACCCAAAGATCTGTCCTGGAAACATCGAATTTCCTTGCTGATATGGCTCTGAAATGTCTGTTCTCCTCTCCCTGTCCTCCAGATTGGACGTACAGCAAGGGTTTTGTGACTGCTGACATGATCCAGGAGCACCTGCCTGCCCCAGCAGATGACGTGCTACTGCTACTCTGCGGGCCACCGCCTATGGTACAGCTGGCCTGCCATCCTAACTTGGACAAGCTGGGCTATTCACAAAAGATGCGATTCACCTACTGAGCATCTCAACCTGCCTCCACATATGCAGTTGTCCCTAGTCAGTCCTTGACCACCATGAGGCCTAGAGCCTTTGCTAAGAGCATCAGCCTTTTGTGTCTCATCCTGGAACCTGGATGCTTGAAGAAGTGACACTCCTCTGGCTATGGTATAGGCAGGTCAGGCTGAGTCACTTCCTGGAAGCCTCCCTTATCCTAATCTCCATGTGGTAAAAGGTCCAGATGAAGCACATAAGGCACAGTCTCTTCTGTAGGGCCAGGAAGAAGAGAGCCTGTACATTTGTCATAAGGCTGGCTAGTCCCTGAGAACATCATGGGCTCACCTTCTTCGTGTCTGTGATGAAGGGAATGGAAAAGGTACAATACATTTTGCTCAATATTCAACTCTACTGCTTATGTGAGCACAGGTTGAGTGGGCTTATAGACATAGTCCTACAGAAAGTGAAGGAAAGGAATTATTTTCCAGAACTCTAAGCCTCAGAGAAAGGAGTCTGACCACATATTTGCATGTGTATCTCTCAGCCCTTGCCCAGGCTAGAGTGAAGTGGTTACCCACAATTTATGATTGCTGCTTGTAAAAGGAGTAGAGCCCTGGCTGTTCAAATAAATGGAGCTGAGGCCCTGATGATCTCAAGGAGTCATTGCGTCTTTGTCTCCTGATGCCTGAGGACATTGGAAGGGAAGGGCTCCCAGCACAGAATCTCCTGGGTGTTTTGAAGAGCTTCTGAGGAGTTGTGCCATGTGCTGAAATGTGAGCTGCTGCCACCAGACCCAGGGCTCATTCCTGCAGCTGTTCTGCAGAGCCAGAGCCCAAAGCCTCCCTAGAGGCTTTAGAGATGTAGGGAAGAAAACACAATCAGAGGGGGCTCTTAGAGTAAGGGTAGCCCTTCCAGTGGCTACTCTAATTTGATCATTGTTCCCTCTTTCTGTGGGCCTGCCTTCATGCTATTTATCAGAGTACCCAGCATACAAAACAAAGTATTGCCTTTCCATTTGGAAGGGACATCTGCCCCTTTAAAAAGTAACCTGACATCACCAACTCTGGACAGATTTGGTGACTGGACAGTGTTGGCCTGTCCCAGGCCCATCAGTCCTAAATAGCCTGCTATGCTTGAGAACTCAAGATTCAATCTCTTCACTTGTCCCAGGATAGGACAAAGACAGCAGCGTGGCTCTGTTGTTACTCTCATTGGGAGAAAACAATGCTTTGGATTCAGCTGGAAGGTCAAATTTTTCCATTATGTTGTGTAGGTATGGGTGTTTTGCCTGTATTCATGTCTTGGGTACATGCATGCAGTACCCAAGAATGCCGAAGATAGTGTCAGATCCCATGGAACTGGAGTTACAGACATTTGAGAGCTGTGTGTGTGAGTGCTTGGAATTGAACCCTGATCATCTGGAAGAGCAGCCAGTGATCTGGGCCATCTCTCCAGCTCCTCAACATTGTTTTCCTGCATGGAACTGGATATCTGTCTGTCTCTGGGCTCCTGATAGAAGATTCATGAGACCCTTAGAATTCACACACACACACACACACACACACACACTCTCTCTCTCTCTCTCTCTCTCTCTCTCTCTCTCTCTCTCTCTCTCTCTCTCTTCCTCCCTAAATTTAAATTCTGTTGGTGTTATTTCATCTAATATACCTTGATTAGCTAGTATGTATATGTCACTGCTCTGTGAGTCACCTCACCTCCAGAAAGGAAATTCTTGCTTAGGGTTGTTGAACTTAGTGAAGCAGTCCAGCAAAGAGAATTCTTTGTATGAAGCCTGCTAGCCCTTGTTTTTCACAGAAATGAGTGCAAACATTTCTTAAGAACCCATCATGGGAGGAAGCACTGTAGCCTGAGGTTCCAGCTGTGTCCAAGAACAGCTGGTGGTAGTTTTTCTCCCCCAAACTCCTCCAAGTCTAAGACAGACAAGCAGCAAATCATCTCAGCACAGGGTGATCAACACTACTGAAGAGGTATGGGGTCCTCAGAGGAAGGGGCTGAGAAAGAGGAGGAAGAATTCGCCTGCATTGCACAATATAATTCTTATGCTAACCCTGTGAATTGAAGATTAAGGATTTGCCAAAGGAAATACAGCCCTTCAGTAGCTGGGACAGCCTGTAGCTAAATTTAGGCTCATCTGCAGCCAAAGCCAAACTGCTTGGATCTTTTGGAAGATGGTTAGGGAAGGGGCAGTCCACCAAAGGTTCGGGCGCAAAAGCAGGAGGAGTGGAAGAGGAGGCTGGCTAGGAAAGGAAACGGGTCTACAAGAACCGAGAGCCCAGACTTTTAACCAGAACAACACTGACTTCACTCTCCTGGAGCATCCAACTAGCATCTGGACACCTTTCCCAGCGTCTAGAACCGTATTCGAGGTGCATCATTCTTTGGAGTGCAAGACATTTTGTACAGTCCCCAAATTCTATATTGCGTGGTTCAGCTGCGTCAGAGAAACACACCCTATCTTGTTTCCCAGGTGTGCCCTCTGGGTCACATGAGAACATAGACTGGAGCAGAAAATTGTCAAGCTAGGCTTGTTTGAAACTTCTCCCTTTCTGAGAAATAACAGGAACCAAGACTCACGGCAGTCATTCCATAAATAACATACAGAAGGAAGAAAGGGAGGGATTAGGAAGTTGGATAGAGAAATGAAGAGTTTCGCGGCTGTGTATGGTGGCGCACGTTTGTAACCCCAGCATTCGGGAAGCTGAGACAGGAGGATTACCGCTAGCATGAGGCCAACCTGGGTTGCAGAATTAAGCCTTTTCCTAAAACAGAAATAAAAGTGTTTCGGTGCTAGAGATGTAGTTCAATGGTACAGGGCTTGCTTAGAAGTTCAATTTCCAACACCAAGGGAAAGGGGTAAAAAGTGTTTCGGAACTGAAAAGCCAGGAAGTGGGGTGGGAAATTCAGCATTCCTTCCCAGGGTAAGATCTGATTCTCTCTGCTCCCTTTTCCATCACGCGCCCAGTGTGTGCCTGAAGAAGCAGCTTTTGCAGTTGGCCAGTGAGAGGGCAAGCTGCAACAGCCAGAGCGAGCTATTGGTTAGAATAGAGGCGAGGCGGGGCGTGCGCGGTAGCGCGCGGGTGATTGGCACGCGCAGGAATGCCTGGATCGGAGAGGGAGAGGTAGCGCCGGGAAGGTGACGCGGCTGCGGAGGTGACGCCGTGCGGTCGCGCGGCCCTTCCGGCGCGGGCAGGGCGCTGAGGATCGGGCGCCCCTCGGCCGCAGGCCACTTCCAGAGCCGCGGGATGTAGCGCCCAGGCCCGCGGCCCCCACGCAGAGGCAGCCAGCCAGGCCGTAAGTGTCCCGCGGGTGGGCGGGGCGCGGGTCCTGCAGCCTCCGGAGGGGACTGCCCGGGAGTGGCCCGCCCCTGGACCGCGGCTCACCGCCCAGCCCTCCGAAAAGTCCGCGGTAAACATTTCCGGCCCCTCCCACCGCGCGCCGCCTCCGTTCGGGGGTCTGCCCTCAGCGGTCGGAGCCCAGCAGTCCCTGAGTGGTGCCTGCGCAGACGCGCGGGAGACGGCCACGTTCCAGCCCTGCTGGCGACCCCCGGAGTTGAGCCTGCGAGTTGGGTGCGGGAGCACCGGCTCCGGGTGGCCGGGAACCCTAAGGCCCCACCGCCATTCGCAGGTCGAACGTGACAGGGATCCCTCCTGGATAGGCTTGGAGGGGAGGTTGTTGGACAGTCGACAGGCCTAAGGTAATACTCAGCTACAATGTAAACAGATGCTGAAGTGTTGGGAAGGAACCAGATTTCATCTTAGAAATCTAGGGTTGATAGATGCCGTTTTGTTTGAGAATTTGGGTCTTCTGGCACTAGGCTTTAAGAAAATAAAGTGGCTGTCCCTCAGTTTCTTGTACTTTGTGGATGAAGAAGCTGGCCGTATTTCAGTTTACACAGTTTCAGATGTCAGCGGAGCATTAAGAGGCCATGGGATCTGCTATATTAATCAGATTATTTCCCTCGAGTATTTAGACGGGCCAGAGAGCCCAGCAATGGCTGTGCTGTGGTAAATCAAATGAAGATGGTAATGGTGGTTCTTTTCCAAACCATAGTAATGTTAGGATGTGTTTACTACCTTTGCCTTTTGATAGTGATGGGCAGATGGTGATAGTTCAGCCGCTGTTCCAAGGGGTTTATAGCAGCAATACATTGCCGGGAACTCAAGTAGGATGGCGCTAAATAGATTGCAAAGTCAGGGTTCCCGGCTTGCAGCCACTGCCTTTCTTTATTCCAGAAGTAGTTTCTGTGTCCCTATTTTGTGGCAGGTCCTTGAGAAATCAGTCTTAAAAAGCTGGCGTTACCTGTGAAGTATTGGGCTTTGGTGTGGACCTTCACTTGCAGACTAGACTCTCAAGTGGTGTTCACAGAAATTGTACGGTTTCTGAAGAAGTAAACAGGTGACTACTGCCTGAATGTCAGAGAGAATCCTAGGAAATCCTAGGAAGTATCCTTAATTTAATAGGTCTCCCACCCCCTCCACCCCCGCTGCTGGTGGGCAGAGTGAACTACCCTAAATAGAATGCTAGGCTAACTTCTGTCTCTTCAGGGTGACCTCATTTTGTTTTTCTAAGATTCCCTGGTGGAAAAATGGACTATTCACTGCACGGGGTGCCATGTTTCCTCACACCCCTGTTTAGATGACTGTGCCTTCCTGGAATGCCCTGCTACTGTCTATACCTATCGAATCTTAAAGTACTTCTACAAAGCTTTCTTGACCATTTCAGCTAAAGTGGCACTTTTCTTGTTATTTCCTCCAGCACTTGTTAGCACTTAGCTTTATAGTGATGCTATTGGAAAACAAATTACTCAATATATTCAATACCCCCCCCTTTTTTTTTTTCAAGACAGGGTTTCTCTGTGTAACAACCTTGGCTGTCTTAGAACTCTCTTTGTAGACAAGGCTGGCCTCAAACTTAGAGATCTACCTGCCTTTGCCTCCTGAGTGCTGGGATCAAAGGCATATGCTATCACCATGCCCAGCTAATTTTTTTAACTTTTAAAAATGCTATGTGTACAACTGTTTGGTCTGCATGTATATATGTATGTGCACCATGTGCATGCCTGGTGCTCACAGAAGATGGGTCTGATCCCTTGGAACTGTGAGCCAGCATGTGAATGCTGGGTATTAAACCAGTACTCTGGAAAAGCAGCAAGTGCTGTTAACCACTAAGCCAACTCTCAGTTGCTTTACAGCCCTTGGGAACCCCTTTTTTGTTTTCGTTTGTTTGCTTGTTTTTGTTTTTTTTCGAGACAGGGTTTCTATGTGTAACATTCCTGGCTGTCGTGGAACTCCCTTTTGTAGACCAGGCTGGCCTTAACTCACTGAGGTCCACCTGCCTCTGGGATTAAAGGCTCGTTCAGCAACAATTCCAAGCTTCTTACGCTGCTTCCCCTTGTGCATTCTGTAGTAGTACTCAATAGGTAATCTCCGACTAAGGGATAGAATTTATCCTTTGATGGAGGCCAGTAAGGAGTTCTCTGCTTCTGTAGGAAGTAGTGTAAAGCCAAGTTGAAACTCTCTGACACACCCCTGCTATGTTATCTGCCCATCTGCTTGTCACTCTGAGGAGCTGTGTCATCTTCACATCTCCGGGCTTTAATAAGTAACTCAGTGTTTTTCGTGCCTGGTGCTGGTGT